ATTTCGATCAGTCTAAAAAAAATGCAGAATTCTGCATAAATGAGAAGTCTGCACTTATAGACCTTTTGTGGTTTTTAAACTTTCAGAACTGCTTTATAGAGTGTTAAAATACATTTTTATATATGCAGGCAGTATACAAATCTACATTTTGATCAGTCTTAAAAAAGCAGAATTCTACATTAATGAGAGGTCTGCATTTATAGACCTTGAGCAGTCAACTCTCACATCACATGACCAGTTTGTTTTATAAATGTGTGTGCGGGATCCTAATGTTAGAAGTGATCAGTTAGCATATGTATTTTCACTTTGCTCGATCTCTAAAGATTGTACTCCTAAAGTATTAGTCAACGAGTCAATGACAAAAAATAACTCAAGAAATGAGTTTCATTTACTACACAAGCTGTGAAAAGACATATGGTTTAGATATTGACTAACACATCATTAAAGAACTCCAATGGGTAGCAGTACTAAAATTAGGGTGATCAAGGAAGTTTCACCAGGGAGGTGGAAGGTCAAAATTTAGTACATGTTTCTCCTATGAAGGAAAGGGAAATTTGTATCTCCATGCTTTGAATTCGTTGAACTGAGACATTTAACAACAAGGGTTAAGTAAGAAAAAATATTTCGAAAGATAAATTTTAAAATGGGGCAACCTATAAAAACTGAAAGTGAAAGGGAGGAGGGTTAAAATCTTCCAATAGCTCTGAGCTGGCTTAGTGGTTTACTTAGCTGATTGATATAACATTTTCTGTATATGATAATGGGACTTATTCATTATAATTAGTTGATTTGAGTAGATGCACAACTTTAATCAAATATTTTTCTAGTTGGGATTAGGTTGTCTGATGTGTGGAAAGGCCCTTAAAGGAACACTACTTGAACATTGATTATAGATTATATATTGCTCTTGAGTAATGGCAGTTTCAACTAAATGTTTTACTGCATGCCATTTTGTCATTGAAATCACCTAGCTTAGAATCAGAATCCAATTCATTGTCTTCCATTTGTAAATTTTGGCAATCACCATCACACTTGTAAGCCTCGGAGTATAGCAACCCAAATTTCTTGCAGTGATATTGAAAGCAACGGCTTTTTGTATTGACACATTTAATTATACAGTGGAATTTGTGATACTTCAACTTATACAAAGTCTGGTATAAGAAGAATGGGCTGCAATACTTGGATATAAATGAACATTTGAAAGTTTCCCATTTGAATGTGTATATATTTAACACAACAGTTTATTTATGGGAATTTGGTACTATCAAATGCTTTCTTTGTGAATATGCAAATCATCTTGTCCTGGTACAATTTGTGCTGATAACTGATAAACTATATGTTGAATCATATCCTGTTAAAGCATGAATTTCTGATAGATATTTACAGACTTCCGTTCCTACAGATGAAATAGTGTTGTGAATGACATGGTACTTTTTCTTTGTCATAGATCCAGTAAGAAAGAACAGTTCATATGCACCATTGTCATTATAATGATGACAGAATTGTTATGTCAGTATCAGTAGAATAGAGAATAATTGTATCATAGCCATTGGCTTTGGATTACATGCAGTGCAACAGATAAAATATAGTTTTACGAAAATAAACTTTTGATATATAGTTAGGAGGTCCTGAAGGTTATGCAAATGAAATGTGAAAATTATAAGATGAATAAAAGTGTTTTTAATCTTAGCATAAAAATTACCTTACACTCAGACTAGCCTGAGTCAAACTTTGACTCCATAAATTCACAGACTAATCTTTGGTAAAAATACTTAGTTAAAAACTAAAGACTTTTAATATTTAATAAAAGCTTGCCAAATATTGTGAAGATAGACTTAGAACCTTCAGATTTATCTTATCTACAATTTCATGGTTATGAGTTCAGTCATTTTGATTGACCCCTTATGTATAGAGTTAAAAAGAGCTATTGTTTTTTCTTACTTGTTTTGAAAAATAATCCACTGTAATTATGGAAAGTACCACAAATGATTAAACATGCAACTGGTGAGATAACTGGAGGTCAAATTTCACAAACGATTATCTTTGGCACAGTTATTACATGCTTTCAAGGGTCACATGAAACTGATGACCCCTAAATGCTATTCCAATGTTATGCTTTTATTAAAATGTGATCAAACATTTAAATTCTAAGCTTTGAAATTAATTCAATTTCTTGTCTTAATTTACATTTTGAGAATAAGTATATTTAATGGTCAGAAAAGCCATAAACCCTGGCCACACACATTTTTGTACTGCTTCCTATTTCATACAACCCGGGGATGTGTGTGTGTGTGTCTAAATCATTTGGATTTTTCTCATTCAGCTTTAAAAGTAAACATAAATTAATTTTCACAGCCCTGGCTTCCTGAATATGTATACATTTTTTGAATTATTAATCTCTGAAATTAATTAATATCCTCAACAATATGATAACCCTTGAGATTCCTATTTCTGTGTGGCTTATATATTGCAACTGTTATCAATTTTCAAAATAGTAATTATCTGATCTGTATATTTTCATCTTACATTTAACTAACTCTACCTATATAATTACTTTCATGTCTTTTTGTAGAATATGTCTTAAATCTGTATAGCTTGTATGTTAATAGTGATACCTGCTTTCTAATTTCACCATAGGTGTCTTAATTTAATCCTAAAAGGTGGTTTTGATATCAATACTATGAATGAAGAGAGGCAGACACCATTGCATATTGCTGTTACTTTAGGTAACAAAGAAATAATAAATCATCTACTAAAAAATGGTGCTGACCCTATGGCTTATTCCAAGGTAATGAAAAGTCATTAAATTACTTTTAATGTAAGATTATATTTATATTTTGAAAATAGCTATGTTACCAGATGTACTTTAATAAAAGGGAAAAAATAAACATTTAAACTAAACCAAATTCAAATAAAGATGATGTACTTTGATATTTTTGAATCTAATTTTTTTAAAATATATTTTACATAATTGCTTGTTTAGGTTGCCCAGGTTTTAAATCAGTGTAGCAAAATATGCTGAGTATACTTTGAAATTCAGGATTCAAATATATATTTGATCTCTTGTCTGGACAGATAAACAGCTGAAACCTGGGTGATCTGTTGACTTTTGTATTTGCCAATTTCAGAATGTCATATTTTGTGGCATATCCATTTAAATTTCATTTTCAATATTTTCCTGGGTGTAATAAGACTTTCCCCAACAAATTAGAAGTGTTGATTTTTATACATAATATTTATACATTCACTTCTCTGCATGACATGGCATTTATTTTTACATTAGCTCTTTGAAATTGTCTTTTGTTAATATAGTAAATTGCTTTGCTTTGATACTTTACATGTTTTAGTCAAGTTGCTCAGTTTTTACTTCACATAGGTGTTCACTTCGTTTTGTATATTTTTGATATTTTATGAAACAATAATAAAAACATGCTTCTTTCTATAAAACTGTACCATCATGATAATTTTGTGATGGTATTTTATGCCATTTTGAACTCTGCATACCATCATGCCTAATTGTTGTTTTATAAACAGCCATTGAGCCTTTATTATTATTTGCTGTCACGTGTCATGTTTTTAGTGTTACGTAATTCTGAACTGTTGTATAGTTGAGTTTTCTAACCTCTTCTGACTTATTATTTTTACTTAATAACTGAATGTAATTAATATTTTTGGTATCTAAGTTTACAATTCAGTTTTTTTCCTAGTTCTGTTTAACATTTTTTACCTATGTATCTTGCTTGTTTATGAAACATTCTTAAACAGTCTGTCAGTATGCAGAAGGGTTCTAGTGTGTTTTAAATTTTTTCCATCTTGTTTGGCTGTTTGGGCCTACTTTTCTTCATTATTGATGTTCAAACCAATATATCTCTTGCTTGGCTCTTGCTTCTCCATTTAATAGTTTGAAACAAGCCAGTGTATAAAATAATAAAAGTGATCATCCATTGGTTATGAGCTGAATCTAAAGACAGTAAAAAAGGCTTTTTAATGGCTACAGTTAGAGCACACAAAAAGTAAAAGTAAAATTAATTATTACCATTTTTTCTTTTTTGAGTGTGCTTTCTATTCATCTTCTATTACTGGACACTTCTGTGTAGGACCAAGTTTTGTTTCAAACTCTCTCTCTCTCTTCTTCCTGCTTTTCCTCTTTTTAATAGGTCATCTCTGTGTTTTGATATTTAAGATATGATATTGAGATTTTAGGACTTTTTAGCTCGATCTGTGTTTGGAGTTTTATCTCTTGATTTTATCCTTGTACTGGGTATTTTCTTGCTAATTATAGCTATCTACTTAGCTTTGTTTATTTCATTTTCATTTTTCTAGTGGCTTTACCTCTTAACCTGTGTTATGATGGTTGTCATTTTTATGCATGTTGTTCCCCTTTTTCTCAAGCTGTTGGTTCCACTGGGTGTTCTGGACTTTTCTGGCCTCATCCTCTCTACATTCTCTCTTTTACAGGTTTTCTTTGCCTCCTAAATTTTATATTTACAAGTGATTGTACCAGAGGTAATCTTTATTACTATTTTAATAAATTTTCAGTGCTGACTGAAGGATAGAAACCATTATTTAATGAAGACGACAAACAACTTCAGAAAAAATGTTTAATTTCTCATACCTGACATTTCAGCTTACACCTTTTTCAAGGGGCTGTGAATGTCACCGGTTACCAATCTGATTTTAAATTACAGTAACCGAAAACAAAATACAGCTACAACAACATAACAGAAAATTGTACGTGATACAAATATAGTCTAAAAGTTTTGAGTCATTGATCATAAAAATAGAGAAAATGTTAAAAGGGCCAGGCATTGTACCTATTAATGGAAGGGCATCTGGATTGAATCAAAAGTGATTTCTTATATTTTCTGTCGAGAAAATTGTCACAAGTTTCTAAAATTTTGATTGTATAAGTTGTCCCATTGATTGTTCCATGTTCGTTTAAGTAATGTTCAGTTGTAGCTTCTTTGTTGTCAAGATTACCAGTGGCACAAATGTGTTCTTTGAAATAATCGTGTATTGGATGACTGGATTCACCTATATATGTGGCCAAACACTGTGTACAGTGTTTTTAAGTGTGCAGGACTTCTCTAAGGCATTCATCTTTGCAAAACACTTTTTGGATTTACATGTATTGTCATTATTAAAGGCTGAACTAGTGAATATTCTTCAGTTTTCTACCAGGTTTTAGTATGATTTTGATATTCAAACCAGATCTTCTAATTGCATGATGAAGCGAGTAGCTAAAGGTTCATCCACGAAGAGCATAATCCATGAAACAGTGTCTTGATGTGGTAGTTTCTTTTTTTGATGTCATTTGTTAATATCTTGTGAATCAAAACTGTGAAATGTCTTAGTAATGTAACTATATGGGTAGTAATTGGACAACATTATCTTTTGAAGTTTATCCTGGTTTGGGTTTTACTGCCCATGGTGTTGCAGATTTTCCAATTCTATTAAGTTGACCAATAAAGACACCTCGTTTGGTAGCTGGTAGATGGTGTGAGTTATAATGTAGAATAAATAATAGGTTTAACACATGGTTTAGTATATATGGAAGTAACAGGTTTGTTGTTTACAATAGTGACCATGGTATCAAGAAAGGGTATAAATTTCTGAACGTTATTGGTATCAGTAAGTGTGAGCATTATGTTGGAGTGTTGATTATTAAGAAATTCAACCAATTCCAAAAGAGAAGGGAGTCTATGATTACATATACCAAAAATGTCGTTAATATATCTGTACCATCTAGTTGGTTCAAGATTAGTTTCAAAATTTCACTGAGTAAGAGCTGATGATTCAAAGAAATGCATAAAAATAGAGGCCACGACAACAGCAATATTATTGCCCAAAGAGATGCTTTTCCTTATTTTGTAGAGAGTTGAATCAAATTTGAAGTAACTGTTGTTGAGAATAAATCTGAGAGAATTTTCAATGACTTCTGTAGGAATATTAATGGTAGTATAACAGCTAGTCGATCTAAGAAGATTCATAACCAAGCTTATACTTTCTTTTATTGGAATGGAAGGATACATGGAAATGACATCAAGAGTAAAGAGGATAGTGTTCAAATTTATCTGTAAATCATTTCTGCAGAACCTGTTGAGAAAGCCATTGGTGCTATTAAGGTGTAAAGGTATTTTGTTGATAGAGAGGGTGAAGTAACTTTTCAAGTAGTCATGATACAGACACTAAAGGAGAGTTGCATATGGAGACTATGGATCTTAGGGGTGTATCAGGTTTATGATCTTTGGGTAATTCATACAGTTTTGTGGGTTTTGAATGAGATGGCCTAAGGTTATCAAGAAGTCACATGAGTATAGTGGTTTTGCTTTTAAATTGCTCCAAAATGTCTTTAGCATTTCTTTGCCGTTCTTTTGTAGGGTCTTTCTTAAGTGGTTCATAACTAGAGGTATCATCGAGATGTACCTTAATTTTTTCTACATAGCTGGATGAATTCATTACAACAAAACCTTTACATTTGTCACTCACTTTAACAATTACTTGATCATTCTTTTTTAACTCGTTCATAGCTAACCATTCATTTTTTTGAAATATTATATTTTATATGATAATTTCTAAAACTATTTAAATTCCTGTCAACATCATTTTTAAGCTTCTCAATATTCTCTCCTGTAGTAGGGCACGCTCTGGGAGGTTATGCATTTTGGAAGGTTACAGGAGTAAGATTAAATTGTGATTCATCCACATTATTTGAGTTAGATATGTTTATATTGGAAGAATAATGTTTTTCTTGAACATGCTCCCTTTCATCACTACCTCATGTCTTTAGAGGACTTTACTTAATATTGAATTCATACATCAAACACAAAATACATGATACTAAAAGGGTATCAACACTTTTCATGTGTTTTCAATCATTAGTTGATTAATGAACAAAAAAAATTGATTTTATTTTTACATGTGGCTTTAATTGTATATTGAGCTTAATTACATTTATAATAATTTTGATTAATATTTTAAATGATATTTCATTCCTTATGATTGTTTTTAACAGGTTGTAATTTCTTAATGACATCTGAGAGCAATAGTAAAATGATATAAAGAATAATAGGATTTCTCAGTGCTGAGCTTAAGTCAGCTTTAATTACTGAAAGGCACATATGGGTCATAGAATTTCCTGGAAGTCAAGGAAAAACCAAAGGTTTCCCAGATATTGAAAGCCGGAGAAGTTTCATGAATTCTAGCTATGCTTATGGAATGTCATGGAAAATCAAATAGAGGGTGAGGTGAGCTTAATACAAAAAATTGAGTGGAATATACTGACCCTGAATGATCATGGCAAGTCATGGAATTTTGCATTCTTTGAAGTGTATGAACCCTGTTACTGTGTATAATCAACATACAGTACTTAAAGCTATGTTTTATTATTTTAGTAAACAAAGGTAATCTTATTTAAATATTTGAAAGAACTGTTATTTAAAATTCACACAAGTTTTTTTATTGGTTGTACATAGTAAATCTTTTTGCGAAGAAAATAAACAAAAGTTTTACTACGTACAATCAGTGGAAAAATGTGTGAAAGATAATCTATATTCTTTGTATATGATTACTAAACAAGTTGCACCATTTTTTTCTTGTTTTACTTTTTCAAACTTATATCATTCTCTGACTTAAATCATCAAATGTCAGCTATTGGTTCTTTTATAATTTAATGTTTTATACATTTCTCACATTTTCTGTTTTATATAAGGACAATAGAACTCCATTACATGAAGCTGTTAGACATAATAAACCTGATATTCTGTGGGTCCTGCTCCAGCATGTACCAGTAACTAGCTTGCAGGATTCTGAGATGAGAACAAATGTAAAAAACCTCAATTTATCACTGATTCATCTAGCGGTTAACAATAATCTAAAGGTACGTGTGCATGCATATGTCGTTAATGTATCTAAACCTAGAAACAGTAGTAGTTTCTGACCATTGAGAATTTGTTTAAAAAAAACTGTGTAAAAAATTACTGATAGTAACCAAGCATGAAAACTTGTGTCGTTAATGTATCTAAACCTAGAAACAGTAGTAGTTTCTGACCATGTGTAAAAAATTACTGATAGTAACCAAGCATGAAAACTTGTTTAAATGTTATTTTAATTCTTTTATAATGATTGTAGAGTTCATTCTTCCTAAAGTTAAAAAGACAAGCATACCAATTGAAAACCACAGAATTTATACAAGTTATCATTAATCTCTGATCAAAGTAATTTATATACATAGATAAAAAGTAAAAGCTATACCACTAACAAATATAGCCAATTTAATATACTGTCCTTATTTATAATGATAAAATTGCTTTGATTCATCAGTTGGGTATGTTTGGTGTTATCAATAACATCTCACAAAGTTTGGCCAGCTAATAAGATTTAGGTTAGTCAAAATTCCTCTACTAAGTTAGCATGTAAAATAATCCTTATAATAAAATGTATTTAATAAATAAATAATGAAAACTATATATTTTAAACATTTTAATAATGCTATTAATGAAACTAACTAAAAAAAGAAGAGAATATAGCATAATGACAAAACTAGTTGTTTGTTTCATGTTTACCAATTCACTGTTCCTTGAAAGTTATAAAGTAAACTTAAAGTTCATGAACCATTTGTCTGAGAAAAATACAGCCATTCCATTCACATGAAATTAACTGAGCCAGTTGATGATTTTCCTTGCATATTCTCATTCTGTGCCAAAATACTTGTATATAAAAAAAAGACACATTACAGTAGTCTTTTTGAAGTACTAGCTAGCTCATATTTTTCTTGTATGGTGAATAATATGAATAATATTTTAGTTGTTACAATTGACAAAACATCTTTAGTACACAAACCTCAGAAGTTACAATTTCAGGTGTGCTTATCTGTAATATTTTGTAGAATGTAAGTACTATTAAGTAGACTTATAAAATATTTTTGTTTAATTTGGTATTCTAATGGTTGAAGTATTTGTAGGAAATTTAGCTTTTTCTTGAAGATGATTTTTAAAGTTTTGTTGAGAAACTGATAGTTATGAGTCTTTTGAGCAATAATTTAATTTGCTGTATAGAAAAAAGGACTAAAAACATTTCTCTAAAGTTTGCCAAAGCCAAAAAAAGTTTAAAATTATATCAAAATCCTAATTAACAATCCATCTTGTTTTAAAAAACTTTTTTTAAACCGAAATAAATCTTCTGTCTTCAAGAGAATCACGCTACTTTTATACGAGTACTGCATTTATTAAATAATGAAAAAGTTGAATAGTATTTATAAGCAGTGGCATAAAATCTCTTGTAATAATCAAATATCATCGTGGACCAAATAAGAATCCATCTCTCTAGACTTTTATATGTAAAATATTTTAAGTAACTCTAGATTGATTAAAATTTTAGTAACTAAAAGATCAGCTAAAATGTAACTGCTAAGGCTTCAACTTAATTATTTTTCAGCTACTAGAGTTTATGAAGATAGACTAGGACTGTTTTATGTTTTTAAATGAAACTGTTTAGAAATTTTCCATTGTATAATTAATCACATTAATTAACATTTCCTGTATGAGATTAGTATTAAGAATGTAACATAATCTATAACCAGTTTGATTTGTATCAAGTAGATGCATCCTCAAAATTGTAATATTTCAATTGAAACACATACAAAAATAGTTTATTAATATTAACTTCTGATCAGAGAAGTATTTTCAAATTTCTGAAATAGAGAATAACTTTATATATCAAGATAATTTATTAAGTTTTCTATTAGAAAAAAAAAGGTTAAACTTATTGTCCTAATTTGATTTTCAGGGTTGTCTAGCAGTATTACTAAGTGCCACAAGAATCTTAGATGAAACCAGTTCATTGAAAGATTCACTGCAAGAAATGGTAAAGGAAGTAGCATCTTCTCTTCTAGAAGATGAAGGTACTAATTTGTTATGTTGCTGTCACAAAGTACATAAAATGTTCTCTTCTAAAAATAGAGGAGTATGTAAATGGTTTAATAACTATATATATATTTAAAATGTTCATTAAATACATTTGATGTTTTTGTGTAATTTTGCATCTGCAGTTTTTTCTAAGTTGTTAAATATATATTTAGTTGATTTGAGAGACCATTTCAACTTCATTAAAACCTCCAAAAAACTATTTTATAAGTAAAAGCATAAATTTTAATGTAAATTCAGTTATTTTCTTCTTTAAACCGGCTACTTTTTAGGGATGGGTACTTTTGCTTGTCATTTATAATCATAGGTGCTGATCATTGGGGAGAGAGGGGAACAAATCTCCTTAACCCCTACACAGCTTCAGTACCAGTAACTATTGTATTAACATTAAAATTTTTTCTAAAGCTAAGTAACAATAATCATATCATTCTTCTACTTGGGAAAACAGTGTGTACAATAGTAATTAATGACCTAAAGGTTCCAAGTTCCTGTAATGCACACTGAGTGCATTATTATGTATGTATTGGTACATTCACGTGTAATACTGAAAATGAAGACAAAGCTTAGAGATGGGCTAAGTGGTTCTTGCAATTTTGGTTTCTCTGTTTAAGTAATTTGTTTTGTTCTTCAGAGAACTAGTGTAGCACAAAATAACTTCTAAACTAGCAATAAAGTGAGAAATCGTGTATTATTTTTATTTTTCATTGTGTTTGGTTTCTATGGTTATTTTGATGCCAAATACAACACTTTTTCCTTGAATGATTCCAAGTAATGTCTATTTGAGATTTTAACAAATGATAGTTCATATGCCTGAACATAGAACATTTTAGGAAAATTATCATAAAAGCTTAAGAGAAATCTTTCCGGGACACTGGTTTTGTACATTGACATTCAAAAGTGTCAGGGTAAGCCAAACTTATAACATTAACCCTTTCCAGCATGGTATCTTAGTTTTTTACAGAGGTAAAATGCTGATATGATTTTTCTAACTTGAGACCATTGTGAACTTTAGCTTCATATTTAGCCCCCCTCATTGGTTTATGTAATTTTCTGCTAAATTCTTCTACAATACAAGAAAGGATATCCCTATACATGGCTGCACATCTGTCTCCAAACAGTTTATCTTTTTTAATTTTTAATCTTCCATTAAAAAAAGCAGTGATATTGTAGTTATTACCTTTAACTATTCATGAATTTACTGGTTACCATACTTTCTTTTCTTGGTATGTAGCTTGTGATGTATATTATTGTGTGTCTTCCAGGTCTCCATTGGAATCGTGTACTTAGTATCTACAGAGAGTAGTTATCTATTATTTAAAGGAAAAACTGAAAATCTTTTTTTTTTTTGCATCCTCCATAGATCATTTTATAAGATAAAACAGAGCATGTGAATATTCAAACTGAGTTTCTAATTATATTAATAATTTCATTCACAAGTTGTTGGGTTATTTCTATAAAGTGGAAAGTTACATTTTGGGTGGTTATTATTTTTTTCTGTTTATTTATTTTTACCAAATCAGTATTTTCTGTAGGAAAAGATAAACTTATCCATCACTGCTTCATGTTTCCCACTTATCAAAGCAAATTATTTAATGTCAGCTTTGAAACTGCTCTGCTGATAATTTGAATTACTAAAATGCATAATATTTCATTTATTTTGTACTTGCTATGAAGTGTTTAATTAATGAAACACAACATTATGTTCTTTTTTCCTTTTCACATCAGCAGCTTTGTTATATAATGAATGTATAACGTGAATACTCTTTGTTGTGTGTAATTCTTACTAATAGATAAAATGAATTAAATATACAAAAATATTTCACTTGCAACATAATGGTGATTTAATGAAAAATAAACCTATGCTCTTGTTTTCTAGATGTACAGCACCACAAAACCTGTGATGTTGTAGTATCAGTAAAACATTTGGAAAAAGTTCAGCTTCACCCCATTGGTTTCCATTGGACTTGGAAAAGCAACCTCATAGGTGCAGTTGTGGTTAATCCTTTGACCACTTGGAATACCTTGGAACAACAGCTTAGTGTTTTGATTAATCAGTACTGGAGTTCCTTATGTAAACCTCTGACTTTCAATATTAGTGGACCTAATAGACAGAACAGTAAGGTAAAAGTGGCTGGACTCGGATTGTCTTGGGAGGACATTCAAAGCATAGTTATTGGTATGTTGATTTGGTATTCTTATATCACTTTCAGCTGAAATTAACTGTTTAGTATCAGAGCCTTGTGATGTGGAGATTTGTAGTGAAAAATTCTGTAGTGTTTCCTAGTATAATGATAAAAATCTACTGCATAGTGTAAATATAACTTTAGGTTGTTTTTATTAGAAAGAACTTACCAAGAATGGATTCTAGATGGTTATACTTAATATTAGTTTAATTGATATTGTCATTAACTATAACTATAAAGTGGATCAGTTCAATTGTACCATTAATAAGAAGGCTATTACACAAGTGATTACAGTCTCCTCAGATAAAGCACCTGAATGTTCTTAATAACCATTCATAGCAGTAATTATGAGTTAAATATAGTAGAAACACTAGGTTTATATAACTTGTCCTATTTCGATGTAATAGTACAGAAGGTCACTGGAATATTGTTAAATATTAAATGGTTTTATTTAGCCTTTTTCAAAATGAAAACAGCAATCAGAGAGAATGTTTACACTTTTGTGATTGGATTTGAAATAAAATATTGTTTTTTCATACATTTGTTGATTGAAATTTGAAGTAACTTCTGACACAAACAATGTTGTAAAAGACTAAAAACAAATTTTTTTGTCACTTTAGGTCCCATTTATTGGAGTAAAGGGTCTCATGAAATCTATACAACTCCATGTCAGCTTGTAAATTTATTTGCCACCAAAAATGTTGTTCTTTATTTAAAAGGTATAATTTGTTTTTCTCATTAAATGTAGTAAAAAATATTTTAAATATTTTAAAATATGATAATTATGTAGATGGTAAATGAGTGTTACAAATCTATTAAACATTTTTATCTTTAGAAGTAAAACGTTTCTTTTTAATTGTATAATTTTTTTATAAGCATAGTTTTAATGTAATTGCAACTTAACAATGTCCATTTAATAGTACTCTAGAAGTTTTCCAAGCATATTTGGTGAAACCTTTATGCTCATGTAATGACTGTTGAAATTAAATTCATGATACATTTACTACATTTGAGTTACAGATTGAAATCAAATTATTTTTTCACACAGTAGGATTTTAATTTGATTTTTTATGAAATCAGTATAACTGTAAAATTATTGTTTAACTTTTCCTTGCCACTACTTGTTTATATTTTTGCTATTTTCACCACTCGAATGTTTGAAAATATTATTTATATAGTGGATCAAAACTGATGATTGTTTTTAGCAGAATTCTTTACTTTTATAAATATATTACAGCTGTGCTTTGTTTTGGTACAGAATTAGGGTAAATTGCATATTATTTCTCTTTTAACACACATTGAACTTTTATCATAATTCTTGGGCTGTTACCATGTGTCCTAAATCAGTGATTCACAATCTTTTACACTGAGGCATAGGACTTAAATTATATCATAACCCCAAAGAGACTTTGAAAGAAAGTTAAGGACATATGTAATAGGAGATATAAGGCATTTACAGTAGTATGTTAAATTACAAGATGGGTCACAGGTGAAAGGCCATGTCATCTCGTTTGTTGACTTGCATTCAATATTTTATTGAACTACTATTTCATGGATTTATGTCAATAAATTTGGTACCAAATTGTAGATTATAATTCAAATTTTTGAACTATAAATTACTCAATTTGTTAATTTAAAAGAAAATATTTAAAAACACAGATAAATATCTATTTTTGTGTGTGTCACGTGGTATGTTGAATGCAGCACTGGTTCAAATTAGATGTTTGTGAAGTCAAAATACTAAGTCTATTGTTTCATATGAATTAGAAACTCAAGTTACAGATATTGATAAGCTATAATATAAAATAAGAAGATATTATCTTTTCTGTTTGCTAAGATATTGCTCACATAATAAATCAAACACAGTGGCACCCCGCTCACCTCTTTTCATTTTTGAAAATACTCCCTTATATACACTTACTTCTATATATGACATGAATAACCAATTGGAAGCTCAGAATGTTTCCCTAGTGGTTTTTTCAGCCTTTCTAATGTTTCTTTCACCAATTCTTTTTTTTTGAATCAAGATTTCAATGAGGTAGGTTGTGTCTTTAGTCTGCTTGAAATTTCATATTGTTTTTAGACCCAAATACAGCATAGTTAGTAAGCTTGATAAATTATAGTAGAATTCTATGGTATTAATGTAGTAATTTATGATTTTTTAGTTATTCAAAAGTTTATATAAAACCTTAAAAAAATATTTTGTTTCATATCCTCCACGTGCAAAATTTTTAAACGCTTAGCAACCTACGTCAAGCAGCAACCAAGTACAAAGGTCGTAACTAGAAGAGAATTGTTTGCGTTACTTCTTTATTTAGTTTTCTATGTTTTAAGAAAAATAAGTTTAAGAATGTATTTGTAAACTGTAATAATGTATATACACATATAATGTATTATAACTG